GCATGGTCTTTATTTTCTGAGAAGGAAAAAGCTTGACAATATGTACCAGATCTTTCAACGAGTTGTGCTTTGATTTTACAATTTATGCATTCGTTATTCTGAAAACTTGTGTATTGGCCTTGACAGTGAGTTTGCGAGGAGCACAAGTGTCAAGGATCCTTAATCTTAAGGAGTGATTCACGTAATCCTTACTTGATAACTCTTTCTGACATATTAGCAATGGTGGCAAAACCCACTGTCCAGTCTTTCCAATCCCTCCAGTGATAGTGTGTAATTTGGCGGGACTCTTGCAGGTATTCGATTTCAAGTGTTGATATAATGAGCGAGTCTTCCCACTTTCTTTCCTTCAGAACCACATTCAATTGATCGTAACTCAGTGTCATATCGCAAATGCTAGAATTAGAGAGCATTGTAAGGTACCATTTACCGTAGAGAAGTCCCACGAAACTGAAAGGAGACCTGAAATATTGTTAGAAAAAGCCTAAAATGATACTTGGACCGAGCCTGTTGCCTGCTCCTAAGCAAGCTGGTAGCGGCCAGAGCTTTCTGACAGTGCTGGCATCCAGGCAGAGTCCAAAGCCAAGATAGAGGCAGCAAGCATAGAGTGTAACATGACCAAAAGAAGCGTGCTGCATGTTTTGTCATTAATATTACATCGATTTTTTGCTCGTGGGCTCCCGAAATTTTCTACTATACCTAATCAGTTTCCCTGTATCATGCTGGAAGGTAATGATGACCACGTTACTATTTGCTCGATATTGACAGAAATAAACTGGAAATTGTATGCGTTGAGTGTTATGTTTCCTCCATCGATTTTTTTGCGTTAACTTTTCGATTTTTTCTTTGAGAAAGAAAAAGCAATGTGCATATATAGCCATTCGTCTTCGATAAACGGGATCAAATCGAATTATAAATGTACCAAGGTGCTTTTCAAAATAATTATCTATGATTTCTCATGAAACGTTTTCATGGTATCTAAATAACAGCATTGCTAAGCCAGTTTGAAATGAATCGACGTATTACATCCTGCAAAGGGCTAACTTGTCATCCACAGCAGACTCTTAGACTTTCCTCACTCACATCTGTGGAAATTGAGGTAACAATAATGGCTTCCGAATTTGTGATTAGAATCAGACTATTCATCCATTAAAGGTTTCCATTCAAAGCTTCGAGATACAGAACGTTTTCCTGCATGCTTGCATCCTTGGAGAAAGTGCAAAAAGAGGTCACTCACTCTAACTATTGCTAATGAGCATTAATGATTAACCACGCAGCAAAGGATGGGTCAAGTGAAACCTTGAATGTGTTTGTCATCCACGTTACAAAATTGGACAGGATACATGTGAGATCTGATACGTTTCGCCTTGACCCAGGCCTTAGTGTGAAAAAGGCGGGCTCATAACAATTGCAAGGGTTTAGCTGCGCTTTCTCCACCATATACCGACAGTTTGTTTGCACTTATTCTGCTACTAGTGACTATGTAGAAAAACACTGCCATCAGCTTTCAAGTGTTAGATGGAAGCTTGTGATAATCTTTGAAACAATTTCCCATCCAGAAATGTTGAATGATTTTTGTGTCCAGCATTGTCTTGTTTTGTCAGAGTGAAGTGCCAAAATATTATAATTTTTACAGCGGAATGCAGAAAAAGGAGTCAGTTTCAGCGACGATTAAGAGTGAGAGGAAAGTGAATATCTTTCATATCGCGTCGTTTTTTCCCCTCAACTTCCGCACTTTTGCTGGAAAATGTTTCCTCTATAAGCAGTACTGCCAAGTATCATGTGGAAAATCTGCACGGTGAGGAAGCTGCTCACCCGCCTCATAATCTCAACTATGACAGACCGTGAAACATTCCAGCCTACCCATTTGTGCGGTTGTGGCACAAGGGAAAGATCAGTGATCAAGTCACGGCCTGTTTTTATGCAGTGCCATCATTATACTATTAGCTACTGCTATTGACGTTTTCTTACTCATACTCCTGTTCTTCTAAATACTTTAAACTACATACGGGCTGAAGTATTCTGCGCTCTTACGCTTTCCTTGTTCGATAGGTTGACATAACATCACTATGCTGCGGACATTTTCTTGCCAAATCATTTGCCAGAATGCATTCACCGTGTTTGGTAGCGGGCCCTGAATGGAAATTCGGAAATCAGCAGCTCTTCTTATATTCATCTACAGATAAGTTATGCATTCCACCAGCAGGGCTACATCTAATTTCGCACGCAGGCCAAATCTTTATAGAATTTGCGGCCTGGTACTTTTGCTTTTTGCACCATACACAAGAGGTTTTTGAGAACATTTTGGTACTGCATCAATCCATACTTGTTTAAGTGTCCGTATCGAGGTGTCTTTGTAATTTCTAAGAATATTTATCGTGCCAATAATGCTCGTGAAAACAGCCTAGGAGTAATTTGAAAGTTCCGTGGCGAAGATATGAATAATTCGAAGCACGATACACATTCGAGAAGTCCGTATTGCAGTTGTTGTGGCAGCTACGATACATCGAGTTCAACACCGACCAGGTTTTGAGAGGTTCCAAAAGGTGCTGGCAAGAGGTGGTAAGAACCGAGATAGATCCCGTATAACCTTCAGGGTAATACGCGCAAGCGGATAGGGATGTTACTCGTGAATTGCCATGCTCTTTTCTGAATAACATCATGACCATTGGTTAGTAAATGTTTCAAGAGTCTAAGTGATAGCAACTAGATGTTCAACGCCTTTTCAGAAAAATTTCCATAATTTCCTTATTCTAGAAACGCATACTTTAATTAGGGGCTCAGGAGATATGGTTATCTAGTTGATGAATTTCGCAAACCTGAGTTATTATGTATTTGCTTCTGAGCGTTGGATATTCAATCCGATTCGCATGAATATAGCCATAGCCGACTTCAGGACGTCGGAAGTTGAGGAGAACTCTTGAGGTGTCGATACATGGAATATCTGAAAATCGGGGAGGCGCATTCTGGTTCGTGGTTCCATGTGCCTCTAACATTTGTGCTGATATTTGCCATTACTTAATGTGGAGAACTAGAGCGGCGATTCTCATAAAACATCAGTCTTACCGCAACATAAGACAAATAGAACGGCACAAGATTCTTTCACACACTGAAGTGCTTACATCCTCCGCTTTGATGGATCGAATAGCGCTTTTTGGCCTTTTTCATGCTCAAGGATAAATATGGAATGCATAGTGCCCTAGTAGATAGGAAAGTTCAGTAGCATCTAGGTAAGTGCATGTGTTGATTTAAAAAATTTGAGATGCGAATGTAATCGCAGGAAGCATGACCATTCACGGGGGCAAAGAAGTGAGAGCAGATCTCCATCGAGCGAATAGACGTCACCATGATAGATGTAGTTTTCGTTCCACCTTGTTTGTTGTTTCCATACGCTAGTGTGCAAAACTTAACGACGAAGGTAACTCTTAATATCTCACTATTGTAACCTAGTTCGATGACATTCGGAGCAAATACGACACTGTTCCACATCACAACGGCTTACTGACGGAAACACGCAACGAGAAGAACAGCAGTTAAGCTTCTTATAGAGGCAGTGATTGAAGTTTGATGCGTGAACAGCCCAATTCATGGAGAGCCCTCGGAAGGCACCACCATTCGCCACAAGGATAGTAAAGATCTAGTTCTTATGGAAGTGCATTTCATTCCCCAAACACCACAATTAGCATTTTCAGATCTTTTGCGTCATCAAATCTCTGTGATCCTTTGCATCTTCTTACGAAAAAACCTAACGAATGAGAATCCGATATTTTGACGATAAACGACATAATTCTCAGGAAGAACGCTCACGACTGTAGGAATGTAGGTCTCCCGGCGAAAGAATCCCAGTATAGGAGTGGGCACAGGCGCTCTGATAGTACCTGGATAGACCGGCTGCGAACACCTTACATCGATCTGCTACTGTTCTAAGGCCTCACAGGAATCTGTTCATGGGTGAAACTAACCTCCTATCCTAATTAAGCTAACTTCGTCTGGAAAAGAAAGGGTAAAGCAAGGAATAATGTGGTCACTCACTACTGTAGCGGTTCTTTTTGAGATTTTGCGGCTCGCAACATGCTTTACATGCATTCATGTCCGGTTGGGGCAGAGTGTTGAAATCGTTCAGAAGCTGCTCTGCAGTTGATTGGTCGCACTACAATCAAAAATATGATTAGGACGCGCAATAGCGACAGTCTTCTGCGCTTTACACGCTTTCAAAGAGATTTAGTGAAACCCTAATTCAATTCGTATCTGCATTTTGCACGACTGCTGCTACCGGATCATTCCTAAAGAAAAGCCACTCACTAGCCATGCAAATTCTCGTAATCGCTGTATAACCACACTTGTTTTTTGATCGATCTCTACTGCAGATTGAGCACTATTGACGTCATCGCTTATCTGGTAATAACCATTGAGTTATCATTCAGAATTATGCAATCTTTCTACATAGTAATTTATACACCTGAGAATTCAAAGAGCTGAAAGAAGCATCAGCTGGCTTCATTTCACTCTCAGTATCGGCTTTTGGTTGGGCTGAAAATAGTAGTTCAGAAGCACACTTTCTCTCTACTGTGAAGTCCGCAAACTCCACCATAAATTATCTTCGTTTTTGTTCTATTTCAGCTTGTCTCTCCAGTGACTCATACCTCTGCAGTGCCCCTGTACGAGGGGGAGGGGTAATGTATCGGCATGAACTTTGAACACGGCTGAGCTCTGCGATAGCAAAGCGGCAAATTTAATAGTTCACGAAGTGGATTTGTCGCGTAGCAGACTTGAAAACAGGGTGAAAATCGTGACGAGGAAATGGCCGCCTCTTTTTGACCCCCCCTCATCAGTCTACTCCTATACTCCTATGTTCTGTAGATGAACCTTGTGCTTACGCGCCCCCATTTCTCATCGAGGCAAATACGATCCCCTGTCGAGGATTTCCTCGACCGTTATTCACCCTGCTTGAGCAAGCGTCGAGCTTCGCGTTATTGGCTCTGTGGCAAGCTACAAGAAACGAAAAAAGGGTGAACAAAAGAAAAATATATTATTGTTCATGCACTCTCCGAACACCACCTTATTACACTGTGCTCAACCGTGAACTAATGCGAAATCGGCTTCACATAGTTCTCAGTTAATAATCCTAAAAAACGCACTGTTAGTAGGAGTGTCTTGAGTTGCTGCTTCATTCTTTTTCTGGATTTCACATGTTTCCTGTAACGCAAACATCTGCACATGCGTTAGCACGTTTGTTGCCAGCAACGCTTCTAACTGTTTTGTTTCTTCTTTTTGCAATTCATAAGCGCGTCGTGCGGCACACGATGCGCGATTTGTATAATAATAAAAAGAAAGGATTTGGATTGAATTTATGTTGTTATCCCACAAAAATATCAAAGCGAGTTTGACGGCAACTGGAGAAAAAGGAAGAAATCTCCAAAACACGGGCAATATTAGCCATCATGTTCCGCGAAGAAGTCTGTGACAAGGAGATGGGAGGTAATGTGAGTTGCGTAGAGGGTAAGAAGACCGGGTTGAGAGAGCATAGCAGATCATCCTTGAGATGAACGGTGGACGTGCTCTGATTTCCTTTAGTGGGATTTGGTCAAAGTCCTTAGGGTCTAACTTCGTATCGTTGATGATGCGCTGGAAAGAAGTAATTACTGATGAAAAATCGTTAAAAAACGATGGAGATACGATACACTGCCGCGTTCGTCAATGTGCTGAAATCAAAGGAAACAGAGTCGGACATGTCCCTAATGGGTGTCCGTACTATTGACAACATTTCAAAAACGGCATGAGGATGAAGTGCTTGAAAATAGGGATACTCAGCATGTAGTACAGTAGCGGACTGAGTCACTGGATATCGTGACTCTCGCCACGACCTTTTCAACGTGCAGGGTATGCGCCGATAGTTCCCGTGCTCCAGCCACGTTCCCACGCTATGGAGGACGAAATACTACGCCTTCCCACGGACGCAGACACATGATTCGAACGCATGCACAACGCGAAGTGCGGAAAGTGCTCGGCATCTCTGCCCATCTGTCAGGCAGTCTTCATTCAGTGGTATCGCCGAGAGGTCGTGTCCACGGAGTCCTCAGTGATCAACAACGTCAACGTGAGTTCGCGGATCGGTAGCATGCCATCTTGCGGCTTTTCCTGCCAATCGTGCCCGTAGGTTTTCCTCTCTATCTCTCTTATCTTTCTATATGATGTAGTCATGTAATATATTGTAATGCAAGTCATAAAACCTCTTAGTATTAGTGTTCTGTTATGTAGCAATATCATACACATCTTTATTAGCACGGTCGTAAGGTCGTCAGATAGGGGAGAGGGCCTCACCAGGCTCGCGGCAGGCAACAGTCGTCAGAGCATTCCTTACGCGACGCATCCCCCTAGGACAGGGTGTTCGGGCCCTTCTAATACGAGAACGCACCTGTGCGCTGTCTTGTGTCCTTTCTCCGTCAAGTGGCGCTATTGTCACAGGCCGAGGTCTAAAATTCTAGACAGATTCCTAGAGAGTATACGTAGTCCTCAAATTACAAAAGAGGGGATGGTGAAGGGAGTAAGGGTCGACAAAAACTAGTAGTTTTCATTGGAAGTCGAGGGGATCGAGAGGGATACTCACGTGATTTGGGATCACAACTCGGAAGAGTGGACCCAATTTTGGCTAGGGTCTGT